GTGCTGTGGGATATTTCATAGAAAAGAGAGGTTTGAATGAAAGAAGGCGAAGGCTCAGTGAAAGTAGGAAAAGTGTCCATTTGGAGCATGGTGCAGTACTTTATATAAACTGTTTTACTACAAAGTTATTGAGCATTATTACTTACCTTATTAAAACGTATTTGCTTCTGCACTCTCTTTTACCCTGGACATAAATAAATTTTTTTCAATAGCGTAAATTAATTTAAAAGTGGTGTTCCTTTTAGTAAGAAAAATAAAGAACTATCTTAAGTTCTACAGTTTTATTGTATAAGTCCATCTACGATTTTGACAAAAGTCTCTTGGTTGAGAAATAAAGTGATTAAATAAAAATACAAATAGGATTTTGTGATTGCAACATAATTAAAGGCGGAGAAACAAATGTTATAAAACGAGACAATTTTATTTTAGCCACTTAGTCAACAATTTTGACATTGAAGAGTCACTTAAAATTTAAGCGGTTTAGTGATTGCAAAGGAAGAAATGTACAAGAATGTTATTCAATGTTTCTTGTACAATTTCAGTCTATTTTTTGTCCCCCCCCCACTTCATCACCACCTATTTACTAATGTTCACTATTGATTTACGCGAAGGTTTCTTGGATTACAATTTAATTTAATCAATAAACGCGTCTTCTAATAGGCTGAAAAGTATTGATTACCAGGCAGTAGGGCTAAAGGGGTTTACATGGGGGAGGTGGGGGGGGGGGGGGATTTACCCTAGTTGACAGAATTCAACTGTCCATTTTAAATGAATTCTGAAGGCTTTTTCCTGTTCTGGAAAAATTACGCCAAAACAGTCTTCGTGAAATGTAGTACTTCCTTTTACGGAAAATAACATACTGTGGGAAATCGGAAGCTCTATACAATTAATAATTTTTTTTGAAATTATCTCCGCGATTTTAAAACTTTGATTAGTTTATATGGTATTAGCAGCATAAGAGGGAATTTGAATAGTTTAATGGAAACACTATATGAATGTAGCGGTCTATTGTAATAAGCCTATTGTTGATTAATGCTCACTTTAAAATGTATCATTTTGAAATTTGTTACTTGGGGAAAGAAGTTGTTATGACCCTTTGTTTTGACATTTAATACGTCTGCGTTTTCTTAATTCAGAGCAATTTTCGCAGACGGTCAGTTACATGTGCATATTTAATATTTCGTTTTATATTAAACCGATGATAGAAGACATGAATAAATAATAGGTTCGAATAAAAAATATTAATTTAAATCCTTTCCTATTATCTCAAATATCGATTTTTAATAAAAGGTCCATTTCAAAGATATTTTGGAATGAGACATGGCGAATCATTCTGAGGTTTTAATTTGCCGATAGAATCAAAGGTGGTCAACTGTTTTCCCGGGGGTGAGGGCATCGATTTTAAATTGCGCACATAGTGACCTAGTTTCTTATGAAAAGCTATTTGCTATAGTTCATAAAAATAAAAAATTTGGATAGAATGGCAAATGTATTTGTGTGCCGACATGGCTTTGAAATCTGCTCTTTAACTACTTTTCACATTGATTATTTAGCGGTGTTAATTATTCTTGAACAAAAGCGAAATTTTTATTAGCAAATGGGCTATTTTAGAATCTAAAGTCAATGGAGAAAAATTTCTTTTTTTATTTCAACATAAAACAGGTTGTAATTAAGTCCTAATAATAAGGCGAAACAAGAGTCAGCCAAATATTTTTCCAAAAAAAATATTCAAATGACTAATGTGATTGTGCGATTTCTCTGTGAGTAAAGACCAGTTTTAATTTAAAAAATAATACCTTTTGACTTATTATCAACAAATTTAGGTCATGTGATAAAATTCGAACGCACGAAATGGGGAAATGGGAAATATTTGTAGCGGATTGCTACGCTAGTAAAGCCTGACCGACTCAGAAATCTCTATGGCAGATCCTCCTACAACTAGCTAGACTCCCAGAACCAGCTAAGCTATAGCCCAGCTATAAAGGAAACAGACGTGTAGCACGGAGCACGTTTATTCAGTACAGGTATTGTGGATAAAGTGTACACGTAGGGGGCGTAATCATGATCAGGATGGCTGATTAGGTTAAACAGAGGTTGATGATTGGTCACTGTTTGTACGGCGCACCTCCCAATCCTGGCGAGCAGATATGCAGGCATACGATGACGCACAGAGCGATAATGTGTCGCACTATTTAATGAAGTTCAGAAATCAGGATTCTTTCTTTATCTGAATTTGCCAAGCATCGGGTTTTCCACTTTCTTCGTTTAAGAGGCTTAATTAAAAGCCCAATATTCAAATGTTACAAAGATCACGATATATGCTCTAATTCCTGGATTTATATGTGATCCCTTATCAACTGGATCAACGGCAAATTTGAAAGCTTTGCCGTGTACATTCCACTCTTTCACACTAGGTCAAAATGATTACGTCGTGAAAATAAGAGCATTCAATAAAGTTAAACAAAATTAAGACTAATTACTCGTTCCATTATAATATATTTTTGCTTTATTTTACTGCCACGCTTATGGTGATGCCGATATTTCATTGGCTGGACGAATACACCAGTCAGTAAAATTTGACGCCAGTGTTATGGGAATCAGCATTTTTGAGTAAATTATTTTAAATAAAGTGGGTGTATAAAAGAGGCTGCAAACTTTCGAATTTGAATACTTGAAAAGTAATACTTTCACTTATATTTAAGTCAGGATAAAAGCACGTAGTTAAATTTAAAATATTTAAAAGTTGTAGCAATTTTTTCATCAGATGGTAGATTATTCTGGGTCTGTAATTTAAATCTTCCAACTTTGCCTATCTTGGATATATTTCCATTACTCCACACAGAAACCCAACTTCTATTGGACGCCGGGTGAAAGAGGGTTTGTCGAATCGGCTTTCTTCTATGGGTATATGATAACACAAATTCCTGGAGGTGCTATAGCAACCATCTTTCCTGCAAATCGACTCTTTGGTATTGCAGTTGGTGGGAGCGCTCTCTGCAATTTGATAGTACCGCTGGCTTGTCGTGGTTCCTATGGATTTGTGGCGTTCATTCGGGTCCTACAGGGGCTGGTTGAGGTAACACGTGCTTTAATGGCGCTTTCAACTCTTTCTAATTCTTCCTTTACAATTTCCCGACTTCAATATCTTCATCCTCTGTCTGAACAATTCCGACTTTCAGCATGTTTCTCAATAACTGTAAATCGCAAATTTTTGTTCCAAAGTGATATAACAGTTTGCCCAAAATAAGGGAAGTCCGCGTACCGTTTCAACCGTCATTTTGTGCCAACTGTGTGCTATTCAGCGTTGTGTTATTAATTGGAAAATCAGTGTCTATTGCTGAAACTCATTTGAAGTGTAAATCGCTTGCCAGAATAGCTTTATAAAATGAAATTCAACAGCTAACGACAAACGTAACCGCTTGTTCATTCAAACTACTTAATATATTCATGGCACTGCTAAGAAATCCACGGAAATCAACCAGACGTCTGTACTTCCAGCTAATTATTGAACTAACATTATGTGGGATCATGTTGATGTAATTAACTAAGGTAGCATACACAGTGATGGTGATGTTAGCACTAAAATAAACGAATTAGGTTAAAAATTCGATTGAGAAAGTTGCATCAAACGGGTTTTCAAAAGTTTCCCGAAACATGCTCATAGTGACCAACTTCAACACTTGCTGGGGATTAGTAAGTGTTCTGCATATCGTTATTCTCAATACTTAGTACTCGTTAATTCTTAATAGCAATATATAGGTTTATCTTTCTATACTCAAACCGGACCTCTTTTATCTTGTCAACTAGACACAATATGTTTTAAATTGAGCATCTTGTCACCCATCTACACGCTTTCAGCGGTGGCTAATTTTGGCAGTTTTAAAAGGAATGATTCTCGTTAGAGGAACTTTGGAATCACTTTCCATTTCACAAGTCGATGGATTTTAAATCATTTTAAAGGAGGGTTGGCTGATCTCTCACCCATTAAATCAGTCTTGATAACTACCAAACCTACACAAATTCATCTTCATGTAGACAAAAATTTAGTTTCGACAGATAGTTGGCAAGATCTCTAAAATTATTGTGACTGTAAACCAACATGTGAATAGTTATGTAAAAAAAGGAAATTTTTGTGCTTCTTTCTATTCTCCGTCAAAGTTATGGCCGGCATAGACTTTACATGTGCAAATAAATGAACTTAGAAAAGACTAATTCATCTTAGAAATTAGTATTACAAATGAAGTTTAGATGCTAAAACAAACTAAAACTAGATGAAGGTAAATAATTATTTAGTAAGAATAACCATATAATCATTGACTTATTTATTACAATTTTACGCAGTTTTATCGCGCATTTTAATGGCCTTTAAATAATTATTCATTCGGCTTTCAAAACTTTCGATTTGATAAAATGGACAATTGTTTTTTTAATTGACATGCCCTTTACAGCTGTTCTGTATCGATTGGAATATATCACCGTCAAGCGGCATACATTTTATTTGCCAACTGTCAGACGCACGCATCGAGTATCGATTTGTTTGACTAATTAATCTACGTCCGTTATTTTTCCTAGGGCACATCATACCCGGCATGTCACGGTATTTGGCGATATTGGGCGCCCCCTATCGAACGATCAAGATTGGCCACAATTGCTTTCTGCGGTAGGTTGTGGACTTTTTGTCCCCTCCCCCCGCCTCCCCCCAATCAATCAGGAAATTTTGTTAATTAACTTTGTTTGGCGCGCGTTTCAGGTTCATATGCCGGTGCTGTGATGGGCCTTTTCATATCCGGAATTATGGCACAGTATATGGGCTGGCAGTCTCCGTTCTACCTCTATGGTTTGCCTCCTTTATCGAAAATTAAAATTTTAAAAATTTTTGCTTCCGACCTAACTTGTGTTCACCTCTTGTAGCCATTTGTGGAATTGCTTGGTTCTGTGTTTGGTGGAAGACCTCCTATGAAAAGCCATCTACGCATCCAAAAATCTCGGCTGAGGAACGAGATTACATTGAAGAATCAATTGGTGAAGTTGATCTACCTCCCAGTCTTGTAAGGCTAATTCTGAGTCATTGCTTGCATCTTATCATTGTTTATTATGGTGCTGTTAACATATTGCATTATTTTTGCAGAAAAACATTCCATGGAAGGCAATCTTTACCTCCATGCCCGTCTATGCCATTATCGTTGCAAATATCGCAAGAAGTTGGTCTTTCTTCTTATTAATTATGAAGTGTCCAAAGTATTTGAAACAAGTCTTCGACTGCACCACAGCGGAGGTAAGTGATTTACTTGTCCATTACTACAATAGTGAGTTATCTTAACTTATACTTATAATTCTCATCAATAACAATGCTTAAATTATATTTTAAGATGCAAGCAAAATGTCCGCTTTCCTTAGTTAATAGGAGAGGGATTCGTGGAGAAATTCTCTTCTAGTAATAAAAATTCCTTTCCGCCTCCTCTTCACTCCTGCAGCTCTTCATCTATTTACTGAATGAGAAGAGATTCCAATCTGAGAACAGATGTGAAAAGAAACAGTACTGTATCAATACTTTGGGCAGAAATTAAAGCAGTGATACCAATTCATGAAGGAATAAATTAATTGACTGATTAATATTAATATTCCTAAATCAGCTCCACCTTCGTGATCGCATGAGCATTAATATATTGCTGATAATAGTATTGAGATGATATGGCCATTTATTTATATCAAATGGCTGGTGTCTTGATGGTCATCATTAGCCCTTTAGTTGACTTCAGGCTTCACAGAGAGGAAGGAACATCAAAGTGGTAAAAGGCGAGACGGGGGGGGGGAATGGAAGAGTGTTTCGAAGACGAAGGTAGAAAAGGTAGAAAAAAAGGTGAGGTAAGTACTGTGGAAGTAGTCGAATATGACATACAGTGGGGGGGCATAGTAGTTTGAAGTCAGAGGCCAACTGCCTGCTTATAGATTTTTTGCCGTATGAGTATACGTTACCCAGGGTGCCCCACGTGGAGGTAAGTCTATCACACCCCCATGATATGGTCAATAATTGCATTTTATGTAGGCTTTGGGAAATGCGATTCACATTTAGGCCAGAGAAGTCAAACCGGAAAATTTAAGCTACTTTTCAATTGTGTAAATTGTGGAAAATAAATAATAGCATCATCAACAAAGCGGAAAAATTGTGACCTCAATTTGGCACTCTTTCATCCATCTGAAACACCGAGAGATGTTCAAAATGTGCATCCTCTTGTATAAAGGTCATTCTGTGATGAGTCGTCAATCAAAATCTCACAATCGGGTACAGTTCAGCGAGTTAATACTTTTGTATTCATTTCATGCAGTCGGGAGTTCTGTCTTCGGTCCCCCACCTTATCATGGCCATTATCGTCCCAATAAGTGGCCAATTAGCAGATAAACTTCGAAAGAGAACTCTCACAACTACCGCCGTTCGAAAGATCTTTAACTGTGGAGGTAGGTCAATTATGAAGTAAATATATGTATATATTTATTTATTTCAAATGGCAGGCGTCTTGACAGTTAACATTAGCCCTTTATCTGACTTCGGACTTCACGGAGAGAAGGAGTATTAAAGTAACGGAAAGTCGAGGGGTGGGGAACAGAAGAACGATTCACAAATGTAAAAAAGACAAACAGAAGCAAAAGCAGAGAAAAGGTAAGATGAGCACTGTGAAAGTGGCTGAATATGACATACAGTGGAGTCATGGTTGCTTTAAGTGAGAAGTCAGCTGCCGTTTTATAGACTATTTGCCATATGAGAATACTTTCCAAGCTCTAGTAAAAGATAAAGCCTCGAGGGGTGTTTGATTTAAAAAGAAATTCGTTAAGAAAATAATTCAGTACCTATTCTGTTCTTTTTCAGGCTTTGGAATGGAGGCGTTCTTCCTTCTGATTGTCGCATTCGCAAATTCCTACACCACTGCAATGGCAGCGTTAATCCTCGCAGTCTCTTTCAGCGGCTTTGCAATTTCAGGTGAAATTCTTGTGACAGTTTTATAAACTATTTGATTAAAAGCACTAATCTATTTTGTTTCCCAAATAGGTTACAATGTGAACCACTTGGACATTGCTCCAAGATATGCAAGTATTCTGATGGGTCTCTCGAACGGTATTGGCACAATCTCTGGCATTCTCTGTCCAGTTATTGTTGAGTACATCACAGTTCAAGGGGTAATGAAACCGATACCATCTAATTTCACCAAGTTGTTACTACCAGTACTGTGAAGAGAAGAGTATTAGGGCTGCAGGCCATTGTCAAATATCTGCGTTTGTTGGCAGAGAGAGAGAGAGAGAGGATCCTTTGACAGTTAAGTGTCCGGGTCCTGAAATTAATTAGTCAGTTATAACAGTTGTCTAAGTTCCCTATGTTGCAGTGATGTGTGTATGTATTTGCTTGTATATATATATATATATATATATATATATATGCTATAGACGTATGCTACCGGCTGTCTAGTCCGGTTTGACTGACTTAGTGATTGCGTAAGTTGAGGTAAAATGATTCAACGATTCACCCTGTTGAGTGTTCACTTAGACTAACATATGAGATCAAGGTAGCTCAGCAGATGAATCGGAACTGCTAGAAAAGGCATGAAGAAACTTCGTGAAGAATAGGCCATTAATTAACTTTAAGCAGCATGACAAACATGTGCTCTTTAAGATTCTCTTAGGACATATATAATGATTGAGCGTTTATTATTGCTATGTTGTAGACAAAGTATCAGTGGATGTGGGTTTTCATCCTCGCGAGTTCCATCCACTTCTTTGGCGTGATATTCTATGCCATCTTCGCTTCTGGGGAGAAACAGCCGTGGGCAGAGGCGGCTGAAGATGCACAGATGAAAGAATGGGTTCCACAGGACGAAGTCCCACAGAACATCGTCCAGTCTGGCTATGGGTATGGAAATGACGACGGAGGAAACCTAGATACCTCCGTCCGACAGCCACTAAATGAAAATGCTGAACAACAACGTCCATACACGACTCATACGTACAGAAATAGTAATAATCAATCTATGGCCGCGGATGATGCTTATCATCAGGCTTACTAGTGTGTGTTCCTTCAGTCTCCCTCTCTCCCTCCCTGATCAGTCTCCACTTGACGGGAAAGAAAGCGAAAAAAGTACAATCTTGTTACCTCGTTGGGATCGCATTTAAATGTATATTTAGCCATTAGAGAGAAGAAAAATCAATATATTATCTTCCTTTCTCCGTATTTACCAGTTACTCCCTTTCAACTCCCTTAATCTGGTCTTCTACTTCTCCTTGATTTCTTCAAACTATATGTCTTTTCAACGTTGTGCTAAAATTCGTTTGTGCAAAAATCGTAGATTTTATTGAATTTAACTCGTTTATTTGCCTCCATTTTTTCTGGAAGGGAGATGATGGGTTTAATTGAACATGCCATACTAATGAGCGATGGAAACAGCCGAGAGCTTGTGATCTTAAGAAGCTCGAATTTTAGCTTCTTCTTTTCTAAAGTTACACTTTTTCAACAAAATAAACAAATTTTTAACAGACGCTCCTCGAATGCAACTGAGAATTGGGCACTGATAGTTCTTATTAATTGTTCCACATAAGGATCAGTAATTTCGTTACTGATGCTACAGTATTGTTGCCTCTGTCGTGAACGTTCGCATACGGTTGGAAGCTTAATAATTTATGGTTTTCTTTCTAATATCTTGGATGTGTAGAGTTGAGATTTTGGAGACTGGAATCAACATTTCTAGATATCTTAGACTTTGAAACTCGGTAAATCCAAGAAATTCCTTAGTGTAGAGACAATAAAACGCATATTTCAGGTGGAAAGAGGATATGATGAATATTATTTATTGGCTACACGCAGGTATTCATAAAGCCATTTAAATAATATGTCATATGCACAATGTCGTACAAGGGTTTCAATATAGTTTTTTTGAGAAAATAGAGGCAAAAAGGGTTTCTAATTAAATTCAAGGTTGTCATGGGGCATTCAAGTGAAGTCTTGCAAAAAGTGCAGTAGGATATTCAAGGGTAAATGATTTTTTTGTTCTTTCGCATTTTTTTACCTTCATACAGGTTAAGTATATAGACCTAAATGACCACTTAAGTTAACAAAAATTTAAATATTATGTAAATCGTGGCTTCAGATGCGATTGCTGTAACATGGAAAGATGATTACTTTAGTCTGAGAGAGAAGACACCATTCCTAGAGAATGATTAACTTGAAAATAGGGTCGGAGCAATATTTAACCACAATCTGGGTACCTTACAGAGTCTCAGTTAACTTAGATGACCTTATAAAATTAACGGATCGAATGTATGGTAAACAAGATGAAAAAATAATGTATAATTTAATATTTGTGGAATAGATTCCATAATAAAACGATAAGACATGAGAGATAAGGGCTGGAACATATAAAGTGTTGTTGAGAACAGATTGTAAAAGGTTCAATGACATAATCGTTACAAGTGGCACGAAAAAATATCAACAAAATTTCAATTTATCAGCTGAAATTAGCAAATCAATGGTATTTATATATCTCTATGGTGGTGTGAAGCGTCTTATTAATGAATAGTTAGGAAGGATTTAATATATAAAGCAAAGTATTAACAACCACAGGGATCAACATAATTTATAATATATACAATTTATATAATATATATATAATTTATAATTTTATCAAATGGAAAAATTGACACCATTATTGAGCTGGAGAGGATAGATTTGCAGGATTATGAGAGTAGTTATAACAATGGTAACAATCGAATAATCGTTTGTGGCTATATCTGCAAACTTCATATTTTTAGTTAATTAAAAAGTATTTAATTTTGTAATTTTTTATTGGCGAAAAATATAAATATTAATTCAGGTATATATACCTGTATTGTGTGTTTAAATATCCACTGAGGGTTGCGCTAATTACAATTAATTCGTCTCGTGATTTTTAGCTTTTGAAGAAGGTAAAATACTAAATTATTAATCTTTAAATATTATTTCAAATTCTCTGGATTATGCTCCTCATAATTATAATTTTTGCACTTTAGTTATTTTAAGATGGTGAAATATAAGATTCAAGTCCCTAAACACGAGCAGAATCAGAAAGGGTTCAACAAGAAACGAATGAAGCACAAACCCAACAACAAAGTAAGTAAATCCATTAATCTAACTATTTTTAGAGAGTAAAAGTTTTGTCGAAGCAGCTTAATGAGGTTGGCAAAGTTGGTAGGGTTATTGACAAACGAATTGGATCTAAAGAAGTCGGAGTCTCAGAATCAGATGCTTCAATTAGACGTCATATCATTGAAAAATTGGTTAGCTTTATTTTTTTGCGCGTATACAATTTTTATTTTTACCTATTAAAACTTTTATTGTAATTGTAGCGTCAAATGGAAACACTTGGAACCACTTCACCAGATAATGACGACCCATTGATTAAAGCGGTTTCGGGTTTAGTTAAACCTGGAAAGCATGCATCCTATGACGACGAATTGGGCGGTCTTTCTGGTAAGCTGTTTTGCACAAAATATTTGCCTTTTCTTATACCACTGCAATGTGCAGTGGACAACTTGTATACCTATTATATCATATGTCTTGGGACATATGCTTATCGATTAAAATCTAGCTATCTGAAGGCCAATGTCCCTGATTAATGTCTTTCGAATAAAAGATTCTCATTTTCTGTAATTATAATGTTTGTTTTCATCCAGGCTTGGACTGTTGAGAAACTCTTATTGTTGTACTACAATTGATATTACGATATACTGACTTACAATGGGAGTTCATGGAAGTAATCGGGTGACTGATTCATCTTTTGCTTGCTTTTCAGTAGTTCTAATCGATATTTTCCACCAAGAATTCGATGTGCATCCATCGCTTTGATTTGACGCTCGAGCTGTCAATGCTCATCGAGTGTCATATCTACTTTCAAATAAAGTGTTAGGAAGCTCCTTTTATAACGCTCCTCGTAATGACTTGATTCTCTTTTCCTCCTCAATAGCTGAGATTGTTGAAAGCGAGCTCTTTGCTGGAGGTGACGAAGTGGACAATTCGGGAACTTCTTTAGCCGCTAACAAGCAGAGCAAACATGATGCTTTGTTGTTAAAAATTGCCCAGTCCAAGGAAGATCGCCTTAAACGCGTGGAGGAGAATGAGGCCACTCGACAGAAGCTGAAAGATGCTGACTCCGACTGGGCTAACAATGTTCGATTTAAATTAGCAGAACTCATGGCACTTAAACCCAAGGTAGGCTCCTTCGTCTTTATTTGATTATAAAGCATGCATTTTTATTTGCCCCGACTGCATCATTTAAGCTCGTGAGACTTCTTTGAGTTTCAAGCATTGTTAACCACTCAACTTGAAATCTCTGTTGAAAAAATTTGTATTCCGATCGTGTCATTCACTGCATGTTCAATATCAAGTCTACTATGTCTGTTAAATGAAGTCTTTTTGAATCGCATCCTCTAAATTATCTTTTACAAAGTGTGTCAAAAGTTCAGTACTTATTGATGTGTACGAGTAGTAAGTTTTTCGACTTATCAAATTGCGTGTTTTGCGACCGAGCCCGATAGTTGATACTATTCAGTAAAGTGGTATTCAAATGAGGATTCTTTACTCTGCGAATCCTCAGTGCGTTCACTCTTCCCCAGATAGTTGCTTGACGATGCCTTCATTTTCTTTATTTAGGGGGGGGGGGGGGGGGGGGAGAGAATTTAATGTACCAGTTTGCCCAAATTTCTTGTCCTCTGATCTGACTTGTCTCCCCCAAATGTTTCATGGTCAAAGCCTTGCCCCAGAATCTCCTTATTACCAACCCAATTGTGCACTAAGCTTGAAGAGTAGGTAAATACGTTTTTGGGACTGTCAGTTCGCGCATGTTTAGTGGTCTGATATCTGGCCCTTATGTGGTAAAAGTTTATGGCTTATGAGTTGGGGGAATCGCTGCAAATGAAATGAATGACATTTCAGACCTAACCTAATCATATGGAAACTGATGAAACACGAGCACTAATTGAAATATTACCTTCCATTGGTAATTTGAAATATAACTTTGAATACGAGTTTCTCAGTTACAAAATTGACGTCTACCATTTTGTCGAGGTGGGTTTGAGACAACATTTTCTCATCTGCCAAATCAGAGTTGATCATTTCCATCTGCGCATATATAGGAGAATAGGTAGCTTTGTGTCTTGATTCTGTTCCTGTTTGTTTGTATCACTAACTACTCCCTACTTATCATTGTCAGACTCAACTGTGAACCAAATCGGAAAAGAGATTAGTTTTTGGATTGAAAAGCATTATTGGTTGGTTGGAAAGAGAAAGCTCAGAGAACAGGGGGTGAGGGAGAGAGAATAGATCATGGATGGTGCTTGCTTAGTTCAGTCCGAGAAGAGTTAAAATACTGAGGTACGAAGTTCATTGTGCCAGCATGACTAAAGTCTCCTTAGAGTCCTTAAATGGAGGTTATGACTGCTTGAATATTTATGCGATACACTTCTATTTCTATCTTTCAGCTAATCATTATCTTTCTGATGGTCATGAAAGCATATTTCACTTTCTTTTTTTTATTTTAATGAATATTTGTATTCCATGTCTGCTTCTTTCGCAATCTTGATTTGATTGCAGATACCCTAGAAAAATTCACATTCTACAGCACCTTCCCCATCCCCTTCGCAAACATACTTTACCTACTATATTGGCTAAAAATAATCAAAAGAAAATTTTGCTATTCCAATACTACTTCATAATATAGATCCTTTGCTCTCTCTGAAATGCTATCTAATTTTTATTCAATATGGATTGAGTTTTTTTTCCTATTATCTCTTTAATAGAATCCCAAAGCCGCAGAGAAGATGGAGCGAAATCGATCGGAAGTTCTCTCCCTCTTAAACAATTTCGTCTTCGATAAAAGAGTGGCCCCAGTGGGCACTCGACTCGAAACTGAGGAGACCAGAAATAGCAAATTGCTGGCCAATTTGGAGAATATCGTCTCAAAGAGAGCCGGGTAAGTTGTCGTCATTGAATAAAGGGAGATTTCAGGGTGTGTTTCCTCTCTGTTTCTAGATTTTATCTGACGAAAATATCGTTGTATTTGTAGAGAAATGGATGCGACAGAAACCAAGGATGACTTAAAAACTGAAGACGTTATTCTTCGTCTTCTTTGTCAAATCGACACTTACTCGCTCACCATCGTGGCCCGAATCGCTGAAGAGCTCCGGAGTCTGGACGTAATTCAACTTTCTGATGTTGTGCGAGGTCTCCTTCTAACCCAAATCCTTTTAACTGACGCTATCACTCGTAAACTTGAGCGCAGCGGTGATCAGTCGACTCTCCAGACCAAGACGTTTGCCGATAGAAATCGCTCTAAGGCTATATTTGTGCCAGAAGCAGTTAGGTATCTTATTCGGTTGATTGAAACATCCTCTAGGGAAGATGGAGTTCTCTTTATTGGTGAAGACGCGTCATCAAAAGATCCGTATGGCCTATTGAAAATATAAACTTAAGTACTTATTTCTTTTAAGTAGTTCATGTGTGTTAATATTTTTAGGGAGGTTTATTCCACTTTGGATCTTCAAGTTGCTTTGAAGCAACGGCCATTAAATGACAATGAGATCCCCGCTTATAGATTGGGTTGTCTCGACAAATGCTTATCTCTAGCGACCTCCTTCCTGGAACTCTATTCAGAACATTTTCCTGCTCCTGCAGTTTGTTGCATGTTTTCTGGTCTGGATCTAATTCGTTTACAGACGGAGAACCTACCCGTGGGTATTGAAACAAAGGTTCAAAATTTGATTGAGAAAATCACAGAAGTGAGAGGTCAGCCTAGGCCGAAAGATATTGCCGTTGTGGATAAGGTCTCCTTGATTCTGGCTGATAAGACTGCTACCCCTCAGGAACTGCAAAAAATTGGTCTGGTTCCTCAACTAGAACCTGAATTTGAGGAAAAGTGAGTCAAGTAATCGATTTATTGCATAGGTAGGGATTTATTACTTGATATTAATAAATTAAAGTGGAACTGAAGCCCGTAAGGTTCTTTAAAGGAAAGAAATATAAAACGTGGGTCAGTAAATTTTGTTGCCTCAATGGCAAAGTATAAGTGGATAATACAATCATGACATCAGGACTCTTAGGTAATTAGGTTTATAAAAGCATTGATTCTTCATTGTTCTTTTGAGTGTGGTGAATTGACTTTCACAGCTTTTTTGATCGACTTATTTAATTCCATGGTTGGTCATGTTCATTCGAGTCGCTTGTATTTCCTTGCAACCAAGAGTATTTTGATGGTATTTGAATTGACGTTTGTAACTTGGATTTCATTCATGATAATCTCTGATTTAATTAACCAAATTTTACCTCTCAGAATGGATGCAAGACGACCCAAAAAGAAGTCAGCTCATGTAGATATTCGTCAGAAGCTGTCGAAGGAACGTCGTAGTGTTATGCGAGAACTGCGCAAAGACGCCCAATTCCTTGGCAACTATGATCGTGTGAAGATCAAGGCTAAGTAAGTCACATTTTCCTTGTATTTTTTTAACTGCTACTGTGTTGATAGAAAAGGCGATCAGATACTGTTGTTACGAGAGAAGAAAGGAGAGAGAAGAGACCCATTTTGAGCAACGGCAGTTGTGATTGGCAGCAGAATAAGTGTTGTTAGAGGAAAATGTGGAATAGCCTGAAGTTATATGGGAGTAAAGTTGTGGTTCATAAAGTCGTAGATTGCGGATGACCTAGTCAAGCTAACTCAATGGTTGATACTCTTAACGGTTTATCAATGTTGGGTATCAAATATTGATTACAATTCGATCAATTTGAATAGGATGCATCTTGGTGGGGGGAGGGGGGGGGGAGTAAGTCCCAGATTTTGGTATGGTCAAGCTGATGATTTACCCCTCGAGTCTTGTGGGAGTTACATCATTTGGAAAAAGGGAAGTGCAAACTTGGCAGAAAAAATAATTTAAAATTTAATGCGTGTAAGTGGTAAGTTTCAATACTCACGTACCGATGTAGGCGATGTTGTACTCTGAGGTTATCTAATTTTATTAGACTTTGTCGTTAGAAGCTATATTCTGTTAGACCGATTTAGTGAGCTAAGAGTACTGCTTTTGGCTAATAGGCGACATCAGTGTTTCCCAAGCCAAGGAAAAAGTCCAGTTGTTTCATCGGTCTACTTGCACACTTGGGGGGCGGGGGGGTTAGATTTAAACATTTGACATTGATTTCTCTTTTTTTAATTTGTTTTTTTCTCCTCTCATAATTTTAGTGACGAAATGCGAAAGAAAAAGACGCTGGATGTGATTGCTAAAATGCGTAGTATTGATTAATTTTTTTGTTTGTATTTGTAAAATATAAAATTATTGATCGATCAAGCTTTTTTTTATTTTTTTAATTACCGCATTCCTGATAAGTGGAATTTGGTAAATCACATCTTATTTCTTTGTGTCAGTGTATGGTACATACATGATACTTTACTGCCAGAAAAGTTAGCCAGTCAGTTTCAAGTCATCTTAACCCAAATGACAGTTATTCTTGCGGTCACAAGAAGTACAAAGTTACATCTAACTTGAGGCAATCATTTACACCCTTTTTCTAATTGGGAGCTCTTCATTTGTGACAATGAGGTAAAATATACCGACAATGGAAACTTGATGGGTTACCTGTTCTCTGATAAGTGCTTGCTATTCAGTTTTTATCTGAGTTGTGGATATCATGAGAGCCGAAAACTTAGAGCAACTGTCGTGATATCGGTTGCAGGCCACTTTTACAACGCTGGCGTGACTATGAAGTTGCGGTTACAATGATGGTAAAGCCTATCGCCACTTAACCGTTTCGTGACCAATTCTATTCTGCTGCGTAGGAGGGGGAAATCGATTACCAGTAACGATTACTTTCACCCCCTTTCAGTCCACCAATAAACAAGTCAATGGCATAAGTGACCCCTTGATTTCGACAACTAAGCTCTGGGGAGCACAATGGTTGCCTTATCTCCTGGGTTTGAATATTTATGGCCTTACAAAATGATCCAGTCTTCTTAGAAATTTCTATCTTAATGGACTTACATTTTAGCCCTCTTTGGCAGTCGCACAGTTATTATGCAACCCCCACTCAATATTCCAAACAAGTCCAAGATACAGCCATTTTAATTCAATTTTTTTCAATTAAATAGTTATATTAGTCACTAATACTGTACACAATAGACATACACACACATATGAAGACCCAAGGGGGGGGGATGATTAAGTTCCAAAGTATTTTTTCTTCAGTGGTATTGGCAATTCTGCTTTGGCTGCAACAGTATTCAGCGTAATAGCTGCAATTCTATCAGGCAAAACTGCATGTTCTACGGCGTTCTAAAATGGGAAAATTGGTAGGAGTTTAAACAATGTCAGCAATAGGACTATTCTATTCTCAGGACACACCATGCTAAGGCAGGAAAGAGTATTCACCTTTACATTGTCAAAAATATGCAAACAATGGTCTGAAATTTTGCTATTTCGCAAGCGGAGTGCCCATTGGACGTCGTTCGGGGCAACTTTCTAAAACACAAACCAAGAAATAAAAGAAATTAATCAAATTAGAAATAAAGAAATCCCTGAATATACCCAAACCCACCTTTCGTCTGTCGATGGTCAGACAGAGGTTCTTTGAACCCAATAAAAAAATCTTCCCACCATAATAGTAGTTTAGGTAGCCGAAACGAGGCATCAGGCGTCTCCAAGAGGCACTATTTTGCTGCCAGAACTCTTCCAACCATAGGTCAGTTTTGGGAGTTCCTTTCAATTGCACTCCTCCTTCAACAAGAGATATGGGAAGAGTCCATTCAACCAACTGGCCGGATGTGTAGAATACTGCACAACGAGCAAAGGATTTGAGTTCTGAGCTCGCATCCCCATTCTCACTCTCGCGAGCTTTGAACTTTCCGGTGAGTAGAGCGATATCCACAGGTCGAGAATGATAACCAACACGCATCGGATCTGCAGCTCTAGGACAGGTGAACAGAAGTGCGGGAGGGCTGTTCTCGCCTTCTTTAAACAAGTAGATGGATACTCGAGCATCGAGGGAGGCGATGGCCAAGAGGATAAACGAACTGTGCTCCCCTGGGAACTTGGCCATTTTCAAAATATGAATTGGGGCAACTGGAGTGCTGTCAGTAGTTGTTGTTGACACCGCTTAAGGGTATGAAAAATTAACTTCTTAAATTGGTCGAAAAGACAGTGGGCATCATTTTAAATTGGTGCTCTTAAAAAAGGCACATTTTTGCCTATATTACAAGTCTTAAGACAAGTCCAGGCAATCTATGTGCGATATAAAAATTACTTTCTCAAATGTGGCTTTACATTCTAGGATACTATGAAGAAATTAAAGAGCACCTTCTGTTGCTCTCCTTTGAAGCTACAGAAAAAATAGAAGAAAGAATTTTAGCCCAAACGAAAAGAAATATAACGTATATAGGATTGGACATGTGACAAATGATAGGCCATTTGGTTACCCAATAACTGCAGCGATGATTGGTCTCAGGTGCCACAAATAATTAACAACCGAGTGCACAAGGAATAAAGCCTGTGAGTTTCTATCGGGTATGAAATAGAATATTTCATTAGACTCCAAGATCCAACAAGACATAATTACCTTGAAGCATCGACTTTATTACAAAAAAATGTCATGACAAAAGTGGCCACCAAAAGATATCAATAACACGAAGGATAAACCAAACTTGAAAAGATTGCGCTTATTAAACTGCATAATTAGATTAGGGTTCTAATAAAATGAAGACCTATGGTCATGAAAAATACTCAGTGAGTCTTGCAGTCGTACATTATGATGCACAGATCGCCTCAGAAGGGACGGTTATCTATGAGTTAATTGGAAATAAAAGTTAAACACAAAGCCACCTTTAAGCTTTCGATTCTATTGACAAGTTGTCCAAATACAGTAGTTACACTATGCATCAGAAAGACAAAGAAATCAGCCTTTTTAAAAAAACATTTGTCGTCACATAAAGTTGCGGTCATGAAATCTTGAAAGTATCACTCAATTAACTGAAAGCACTCACCAGAATGCCTGGAAAGATTCCAACATTCAACGCCAGTGTCCAGCCTTCTGCAGTTAACACTCTGACTGACCGAATCCACAGTCACCAAACACCTCGAAGACGGCGTGAAAGCCATCAGGCTTGCCGGTGGAAGGGCCGAGGCTTCATCTGATTGATCCTCCGATAGTCCAGTACTCATCTTCCTCTTGCGAGTTTGCGGAGCCGCTACAGCTAGATGAGAATCAAAATCTTTATCCAGACCAGAAAGAGATTGCAGCGATTTTTCGCCTTTAGAAGATGTGACGAAGAGATCGGCCGAAGATTGATCGAGGAAAAATCGTGAGGTAGACATTTCGTCCACTGCTTCGTCTACAGCAGCAACTTCGTTATCAGAAGATGCTGAAGAAGAGATGCTGCGAACACGACGTTCTTGAGTGTTGCTCGTCCAACCGAGACGTGATAGGGTGACCACTGGTTCTCCAGAAGCAGGATCAAACTTCCAGGACTTTTGAGAGGCCTATTAAAATAAATAATATTAAAAGATTGGAAATCGATTACAATGATACAAATCTCAATATATCAATTTTATTAGATTCATTGACCGAACTTTAGTTTTGTCGCTGCTTATTCTGGGACAAAAACTCCCAAAAACTATACTCCAGTCTTGGGCGTAGCCCTGTTGACGGATTTAGTTACCTTAGGAATAGTTTTTCAGTGACTCCAAAATGTGGATTCTAGCCACCCCAGATTTTTGGCAAAGGTATAGAAACGTGGACATAATACCGGGGTTTTGTGAAAATCTTCTCAGAGCGGTTAAACGTAAAGTTCCAATTCAAGAAACGAATTTTGGAATCAGGTAACCGCCCACCCGAATAAGCTCCCGGTAACCTCGCAGAAAGTGATTACTCTGTAGAGCAAATCATCTACCAAGACCTAGCAGTAGGGATAAGTCTGAGATTAAAATTTTAGAG